ACACACACACAGACACAGACACACACACACTCAGTGGACTGTAACTAAAGTGTGTGTTCCACGTTAACATGAAGCGTTCATGTTCTAGAGGAGCCAGAGCTCGTGAACTCGTGGACAGTGTTCCACATCAGCGACGTGATCGTATCTGGAGTCCAGTCTTTGTACGTGTCTGTATTATGTTGGTAACACACAGCCAGTCTGGATGTACACAGTAACACACACATGTATACACAGATAGGATAACTGCTCCGTATGTCTGTAGTGTTCTGATGTGTGGAACCTTTGGAAGGTGATGCAGAAGACCTGCTTCAGATCAGGACTACCAGCGTTCTACTGAGGAACACGTGGATCCAAACGCCGTGTTTGTTTCGTGTTCTGACTCAGCAGGTAGAAACCTTCCTGTCTACTCCTTCGCTACAGAAACCTGCACAGTCCTGCTGAAGATTTGGATCATCCTGATCAAACCAGATGTGACTTCAGTTCAAAACCTCTTGTGACTGCAGCTCCGACGACTCCAGACTGACAGAACTCTGATGTCTGATCAGTCTGACGTCTGTGTCCTCTGGAAGCAGCAGTCACATCCACATCGTCTCAACCAAGCCGCCTGTCCCACGTCCCTCCAGCTTCTGATGTCGGTTTCATAGGGTTCTGCACCTCCAGCCAGCAGCTCTGTGGTTCTGATGAGTCCAGTGAGTTCCTGCAGACCTGTTGGCTCCCATCATCACACTCTGTTGGTTTTATCGGTTAAAGCCTGATCGCAGCCTCGTCTTTCATTCGTGGTTGTGATGAAACAAGTTTCCTTCGTCACTATTTAACAAAAGAAAACTGTCACATGATGGTGTTGTTAGCCCCGCCCACGACAACAAGGACTGGTTTAAAGAAGCAGAAGGAGGCAGAGCTGGGAGGTGAGCAGACCCTCTACAGGCTGCTCAGACTGGCCTGCCTCTGCTGAGCGCTGTAGGAGTGGAGAAGAGGTGGACCACGACATCCTGGGATCAGACTGAAGTCATCCAGACCTCCTGCTGATCCAGACCTTCACACAGGCTCCTGTAACGTATAAGACAAAACAAATACTGGATCTAATATTGAGAAGAAAAGCAACGGCATCTTGATTGGAAACATTTGCCAACATATCGATCCAATCTCAGTGATGAAGGAAGTGAGGAGGATGCAGCATGTGCTGAAGGTGGAGCTGAGGAGGGCCAAGGACTCCTCCAGGAGGAGGCTGGAGACCAAACTCCAGCAGAACAACATGAGAGGTGTGTGGACTGGAATGAGGGAGATCACTGGTTTCAATGTGAGAGACAGACAGCCAGTGAGCTGAACTGGTTCTGGAACACATTCAGTCCACAGCCCTCAGCTGGGTCCTGCCCCCCATGACCCTCAGACTGATTCACAGACTCATGCTAGTAACAGCCTGATGGCTCACGGTGCATTACCATGACACATACATGTAGATACACACATGGACACACACTGCTCTCCTCTGTTACATGAACAGTGTCTCTGAGGAACGTCTGTCTGTCCTGCTCTGGTGCTGATGATGGGCTACAGCTGCTGGACTGGTCCTGTTCTGGATGCCTGTCCTCAGAACCGTCCCCCTGAACCGGCCTGGTTTACTGGTCTGACCCTCACATGGCTTCATTTTAACTCTATTCAGGACTTTGGGGGTCTTGTGGACCCCAGGCCATTTGGTTTAGGTGACAGCTATTGTTTTTTGATGTTTAAATATGAACAGAGGGACATGTGTCCTGCATTTGGAGCCAAAAATATGTCAACTGATCAGAAGATGTATTTAACATCATATCAAAGTCTATAATGAACACCAACAATTATTTTGCACATATTCTTTCTTGAAGTCCAGTGGACCCCCAAAGACCTTCTACATATGGGAACATGAAGTCCTGAACAGGGTTCAGATAACGAACCATGCTGGCTTCTGCTGGAACACAGACTAAATGACACCATTCAGCTGTAACTGGGAATGTTCTGGCTGCTCCCAGAACATCTCTGTGTGAAGTGTCTTCATCTAACGTCAGCACATTTTCCTTGTTTCAAAAGAAAAGAAAAAGACAAAAACACACCGTAGCAGGATCTCGTGTCGCACAATCATTAATGCAGGAACCCCGTGATGGTTATTTACCATCTAGTCGACCCGTTTCATCAGCTTCTCTACCAAATAACATCAACTGTTTGTCATCACAATGTTAAATGATGAACTAAAGATAATGGAGTTAAAATAAAACATATCAGGAACTTGTTTGTGTTTAATTTACCGACTGTTTGAATTTGACCCTCTGAGCGTCCATCAGTGCAGAGTGGACGTGAGAGGAGAGGTGCGCTTGTTTTATGTTCCAGCCGCTCCCGTCACTAACACCACCACAGAACTCTGTTCACCCCGCACAGGACGCCGGCAGCCTAACAGGCCCCGGGGGAAACAAGCCGGCATCAGGAACAGGTTGAGGCTACGAGCACACCGACCACCACTGCCCAGCATCCTGCTCTCCAACGTCCAGTCCCTGGACAACAAGCTGGACGAGCTCAGCGCCAGGATCAGGTACCAGAGGGACACAAGAGACTGC